CCTTCTTAGCACTTTGGCTTTTTACTTATCTGTCATTTGGTCCCTTTTTTGTTCCTTGATGATTTGTTCTGTTAGCAAGGCATCTGCTTTTAGAATTCCCATTCCTTCTGTTGTGACTTGCATCTGGTAAACAGGACTACTTTCTCTCAAATTCTCTAGCAGGTCACACTCTTTAATCATTATTATTGCAACCTACACTACTTTACTGCTAAGTGCGTCTCCCACCATATTAGCATTTCCCGGATGATGCTTTATTTGATAATCATAATCTTTGAGTAGCTCCATCCATCTTCTCTGTCTCATATTTAACTCCTTTTGATCTTGCAAGTACTTGAGGCTTTTATGATCACAATATAATTCTATAATTGTCCTATATATAAGCCTCTAAATTTTAAAGGCATAAACTATTGTCACTAGCTCCAGGTCATGTATGGGGTAGTTTTCTTCATATGATTTCAACTATCGTGAGGTATAAACAACTACTTTCCCTTACTATATCAGAACATATCCCAATCCTTGCTTGCTTGTATCGGTATATACTACATACGGTAGTGTTGGATTAGGAATAACCAGTACGGCAGTAGAGGTTAGCTTTTGCTTCAACTCTTAGAAGCTCACCTCACATTTCTCATCCCACATAAATAGTTGATTCTTCTTGGTAAGCTTGGTCAATAAATGGGCAAATTGGGAAAAGTCTCAAATGAACTACCTATAGTACCCTGCCAGCCGTAAAAAACTCCTGATCTTCATCACTGTCTTAGGTAGCTCCTAATTTAACACAGCCTCCACTTGCTAGGATCTACGGTTACTCCTTTTTGTGTAATTACATGACCTAAAAATTTTACTTCCTCTAGCCAAAACTCACATTTATTGAGTTTAGTGTATAGCCATCTTTCTTTGAGTATACCCAATACTACTCTCAAATACTGCTCATGTTCCTCTAGGGGTTTAGAATAAATCAAAACGTCATCAATGAAGCCTACAACAAATCAGTCCAAATACGGCCAGAAAATCCAGTTCATATAGTCCATAAATATCACCGACATATTTGTTAATATGAAAGGCATTACTAGGAATTCATAATGTCCATAGCGAGTCCTGAATATAGCTTTTAGAACATTTTCCTCCTCAATTCTTAGCTGTAACCAATTTTGAAAAATACAGTAGCAACAGCTAACTGATCCAACAAATCATCAATCTAGGGAAGAGGATACCTGTTCTTTATAGTCACTTTATTCAATGCTCGATAAACTAATCATAATCTCAGGCTTCTATATTTAATTTTGACAAATAATACTGGAGCACCCCAGGGAGATATGTAACATCCTAAGTTTTATCAGGTTTTAATAACCTCTTTGGTTGCTTTTGAGGATAGAATAATGATTTAATGTTGATCTTGGTGTTTAGGTTGGAATTGAGGTATGTTGGAGGAATAGGTGAACAGACCCCTCTCAGGGTTTGTTCGCCGCGGTGAACTGGGAGTTCCAGGGGGAAGTGTCTTTTCGGGAAGGTTTGGCTGCGGTGAAGTTGTTCAGGTGAGCGAGAGTTTCCTCTCGGGAAGTTTTCGTCGCGGCGAAGATTGGAGTTCGCCACGGCGAAGTCAGGTTTTTAGGCGAGTAATCCCTCTTAGAATTAGTTCGCCGTGGCAAAGTTATGGGTTCGTCGCGGCGAAAGGTGCCGAATCTATATAGTCGCGGGAGGGTCTGTTGGTGTAAAAATTAGAAAATCTGAAGGAAGAGAGAGAGGCTCTGCTAGGGTTTCAGATTTTGGCTTGGATTGTGAGCCTTGTTGGTGCACAGGGCCGTATTGTCGGTTTGTTATTCCTTGCTCAGGCGAGAGGTAACCACTTTCCAATCCTTTGTACATGCTTCTGTGGTATTGTGAGTGGGTTTATGTTTTGTGCCCCAGTAACAACTGTGTTCAAAGTGTATGTTGTATATTAAAAAGGAAAACCGTCTTATGGGGTTTCAATTGATATTGAATGAATTTATTACTCGTGAAAGATAGGCCACTGAAAGAAGTTAATTGTGAAATGATTATTACTCTTTGATTACGGTTTGAGCATGATGCATAAATTGGGAATTGGTGAGAGTTTTGATTGTTACTACCACGTGGTAAAGCCTCCATTAATGCATGATGGTTGGCTCTTTACGTCCCCCATAGTGAGGGATAGGCCTTTTGGCTCCCTATGTTCCCGAGAGTGAGGGATAGGCCTTTTATGGCTCCTTATGTCCCCCATAGTGAGGGATAGGCCGGGTTCAGCTCTTGAAAATCCTCCAAAGTAAGGGATATGGTTGATGGGATTGCATCCTTACACTTGCATGACTTGTGTGGCTATCATTTATCATATTACTTGTGAACTGCCCCACTTGACACACCTCACGAGCACCTATTTAGTAGTACCTTGAATTGGAAAGATTGGTTACTGGGACGTTTGTCTCACCCCGTGGTTTACAATGTTTTCAGGTGAAGTTCTAGGCGTGTGCCATCGGGAAGAGACGCAGAGGCTTGAGCTTGGTTAGCTTTAGGCCTCTAGCCCTTGTATATGTATGGCTAGTATATATTGCCACATTTAGGATCCCTTTTGAAATATTTTGATTACCCGGCCTTGTTGTAAACTGGAGAGAATGTTATCTCCTTATTTTGGTTGGCTGGAGGCCATTTCTAGTGTTTGATGAAACTCTGATTTATTTTGTTGGAAACCATTTAGATAGGCTGATGTGATGTCTATTGTTACCTAGGCCGGAGGCTCGGAGGCCCAATGGATGTTAATGAATGATTTTTAGTTGCATGCAACGAAGTTTGGGTTGACCCGAGTTTAAAAGTCAATTTCTAAAAATATGCAAAGTTATTTCTACTATGGTAGTTCATTTAACAGCTTTCCTTTCCTTTCTACCATAGTAGTGATTTTATGACGAGTTTATAATGTTTTGAGGTTAAGGGTTTTACAAATTGGTACTCAAGCCAGTTCCTTTCTTTGAAATCGTTTCTTTGAAATTATTTCTTTTCCTATTGGCAATATACATACTTCATACATACCTTCCCTGTTTGTTTTGTGTTTCCTTTATTTTCTTTACTAATGAGGGTTTCCATCCTTAGTTGGGGAGAGGAAGGATGGTACGAACACGTCAGACAGATCTAGTTGGTAACGGACCGCCTCAAGAGAATGAGGCCTTTCTGAGACAAATGAGGGAGATGATGACAGCAGTAGTAGATGAAAGATTGAGGAAGTTTGAAGAAGACTTCACGAGGAAGCATCAAGAGTCGGTCAATCAAGAGGACCAAGAGAATGAGGTGACTATGGAGGCACAAAGAGAAGGAGAAAGGGGGTTTAGAGGTGGTGATCGAGCTGGAGACTTACCTCAGAGGGAGGAGTATCGAGCAATTAGCCAGGGAGGAGATACTTTAGAGGGAGTGATTTACCCTCCACTACTGAATGACATCACCAAGGTATGGAGAGAGGTGCATCGTCATGATCCTCCACAGTTCAAGGGAAGTTTGGAATCCTCAGATGCAGAGAAGTGGATTGAGTGGATGGAGACAATCTTTACTACTGTTCCTTGTCTTTCCCCGCTCAAGGTACAAGTGGTCGTCACTTATCTGGTGGAGCAAGGAAGGCATTGGTGGGATAGTACAAGACCTTCTGATATATCTCAGTTAGACTGGGATACCTTCAAGCGGATGTTCTATGATCATTTCTTTCCAAAGGAGTTGCGAATGGAAAAGCAATTCCTGATCTACTCCTTGAAGCAAGGAGAGATGCATGAGGATCAGTTTATCATAAGGTTTATAGACTTGGCAAAGTATGTGCCCAGGCAGACAGAAGATCATTCGTTCTGGCTAGCCCAACAGTTGATGAATCGTGCAAGGCCAGAGTTGAAACAGCAATTGGCCTTGTTAGAGGTCAATACCTTCGAGGAGATGTGTGTGAAGCTGCGGGTTGCAGCTAGAAGGACAAGAGAGGTGGTGGAGGCAAGGAGGGCTGAGAACCAAGCTAGAGCAGATCGTTATCCTGGTCCTACAGTAGGAGTGGGGAAAAGAAGTCAGTACAGCTCTGGGAGCTCAGGTAGCTTAGGGAGAAACAGGAATCAAGGGCAGAATCAAAGGTCGAACGCTCAGAGGGGCTTTATGCAAAGGCGCCAGAATCTAAACAATCAAACTAGCGGGGGACAGGGCTCCCGTCGAGATTCATCAGTGACCACCCCGAGTGTTACTGGACCATGCCCCAGATGCGGGGCAATGCTGGGAGTGCTTTCGATGCCACCGATAGAGACATATTACCAGAAACTGTCCAGAGAGTCAATCGACACCTCAAGCTGGTCGCTTTACTGTTCCAGGACGTGCCTATGCCATGACAAATGAGGAGGCTTCTGCATCTCCAAACTTGATTCGAGGTAACATTCTACTTGAGGGGTATGTTATTTCTACTTTATTTGACTCGGGTGCTACACACTCTTTTATTTCTGTGGACTGTGCTCAGAAGTTGAGCTTGCCTATGGTTGAGCTACCTTATGATTTGAGAGTGTCTACTCCTGCGGGAGTCACTGTCGTAATTGGAAGAGCATGTCTAGAGCTTGCACTTCAGTTTGAGAATCGAGATTCTACAATAGATCTGTTTTGTCTACCTCTGAAAGGTATCGACGTGATTATTGGCATGAACTGGTTGATGGCCAATGGTGCAGTTCTTGATTGTAAAAGGAGGTTGGTGACGATTTTGGTAGGTGCCTTATGTGCTGAAATGTTAGGTGGTCCAATGTTGTTGTCAGTTGTCCAGGTAAAGAAGGCGGTAAGGAAAGGGTGCCAGGCCTTCATTGTCTTCTTTTCAATTAGTGAGGATAAGGCAAGAGGAATTGAACAGATAGCTATGGTGAGGGATTACCTTGAGGTGTTTTCAGACGAGGTTGCAGGACTACCTCCAAAGCGAGAAGTGGAGTTCTCCATAGAATTGGTTCCGGGAACCACCCCAATCTCAAAGGCTCCTTATAGAATGTCTCCTTTAGAATTGGTAGAATTGAAAAAGCAGCTAGAAGAATTATTAGAAAAGGGACTTATCTGACCAAGTGTGTCGCCGTGGGGATTACCGGTTTTATTTGTGAGGAAGAAGGATGGTAGCTTGACGCTGTGTATCAACTACCGACAATTAAACAAGGTCACAATCAAGAAAAAGTACCCATTGCCTAGAATTGATGACTTATTGGACCAATTAGTCGGAGCGTCAGTTTTCTCTAAGATTGATCTGAGATCAGGATACCATCAGTTGAGGGTATGAGCAAAGGACATTTCAAAAACAACCTTTCGAACTCGTTATGGACACTATGAGTTTTTGGTGATGCCTTTTGGACTAACAAATGCTCCAGCTGTCTTTATGGACTACATGAATCGGATCTTCCGACCTTATTTGGACAGATTTTGGTAGTGTTCATCGATGACATCTTGATTTATTCTAGAAGTGAGAAAGAACATCGAGAGCATCTTCACATCATACTACGGATTTTGAGGGACCACCAGTTATATGCTAAGTTGTCAAAGTGTGAGTTTTAGCTAAAAGAAGTGAAGTTCTTGGGTCATGTGGTGTCAGCTCAGGGAGTAGCAGTGGATCCTAACAAGGTGGACGCGGTACTTAAGTGGGAAGTCCCTAGATCGGTAACTGAGGTGCGGAGTTTTGTGGGACTAGCTGGCTACTATTGAAGATTCATCCAAGGCTTTTCTCATATTACAATGCCATTGACTAAGTTAACCAAAAAGGATCAACTATTTGTTTGGACGAAGAAATGTGAATCAGCGTTCCAAGAGCTGAAGACAAGGTTAACTACACCTCTGGTGCTTACACTTCCGATCCCTAGAGTACCGGATGTTCTTTACACCGATGCGTCACTAAAGGGTTTGGGTTGTGAGCTGATGGAGAACAATAAGGTAGTGGCATACGCTTCTAGGCAGCTGAGGCCACATGAAAAAAACTACCCAACCCATGACTTGGAGCTAGCGGCAGTAGTTTTTGCACAAAAGATCTGGAGGCATTATTTGTATGGCTCCCAGTTTGAAGTCTTTAGTGACCATAAAAGTTTAAAATACTTGGTGGATCAGAAAGAGTTGAACAACTGGCAGCGTCGTTGGATGGAGTTCCTGAAGGACTATGACTTTGAGATTAAGTATCATCCTGGAAAAGCAAATGTGGTAGCGGATGCTTTGAGTAGAAAAGCAGTGCATGTGTTTTGTATAAGCTTAAAGGAACAATTCTTACTCGAGGAGTTATTAGAGATCCCAATTGTACCGTCGGAGCAAGCTACTTTATGTGCAGTGCTCGGAGATTATGAATTCTATCAGGATTTACGAGCGAATCAATGGGAAGATGATCAGTTGGCAAAGATTCGGGTAGAATTAGAGGATGGCCCAGTACAGGACTATGAATTTGGAGATATGGGCATCTTGAAGTATAAGAAAAGGATTTGTGTTCCCTAGGATGAGGAGATTAAAAGAACTATCCTAGAGGAGGCTCATCGAAGCCGTTACACCATCCACCTCGGTGCAACCAAGATGTACCATGACCTAAAGCAGTAGTATTGGTGGCCCAACATGAAGAAGGAAGTGACTAACTTCGTACTTTGATGTTTGACTTGTTAGAAAGTTAAGATAGAGCATCAACGACCTGGAAGTTTGTTGCAAGGACAAGAAATCCCTCAGTGGAAGTGGGACATCATCTCCATGGACTTCATTGTAGGTTTGCCGAGGACACCCGAAGGTTATGACGCTATTTGGGTAGTGGTGGATAGATTGACAAAATCTGCTCACTTTTTACCCTACAAAGTCAATTACACCTTGGAGAGAATGGCCAAGTTGTATATGGATGAAATCGTCAGGCTTCATGGGGTTCCGTCGAGTATAGTCTCGGACCGAGATCCGCGCTTTACTTCTAACTTTTGGAAAGCAGTGAATGCGGCTTTGGGTACTAAGTTGAAGTTTAGTATGGCATATCATCCACAGACCGATGGACAGACCAAGCAGACAATTCAGATGCTAGAGGATATGTTGAGAGTTTGTGCCATTGAATTCAAGGGGAGTTGGATTGATCACCTACCTTTGGCTGAATTTGCTTATAATAATAGCTACCATGCCAGCATCCAAATGGCCCCTTATGAAGCACTTTATGGCCGAAAGTGTCGATCGCCTCTCTGTTGGACGGAATTGAGTGGAAGAATGGTTTTAGGACTAGACTTGGTGGATGCCACCACAGAGAAGATTGAGGCCATTAAGCAGAAGTTGCTGACAGCTTAGAGCTGGCAAAAGAGCTATGCTGATAGGAGGAGGAGACCATTAGAATTTTGTGAGGGTGACCATGTGTTTTTGAGGGTCACGCCGACTACTGGTATTGGGAGGTCCATTAAAGCGAAGAAGTTATCTCCTAGATTTCTTGGACCCTTTGAAATTCTGGAGAGAGTTGGAGAAGTAGCCTATCGAGTTGCTTTGCCACCGCACCTGTCCAATGTACATGATGTGTTTCATGTGTCCTAACTAAAGAAGTACCATCCTGATCTATCTCACATCTTAGAGCCTGAGGAGGTGGAGCTGGATGACAATCTAACTTACAGGGCTGAACCGGAAAGAATCCTTGATGTGAAGGACAAGCAGTTGAGGAATAAGACCATTCGATTGGTGAAAGTTTTCTAGAAGGGCATGAGTCCTGGTGATGCCACCTAGGAGACAGAGGAAAGGATGCGACGTGATTACCCTCGTTTGTTTTCTTAGTAAGTGTTTTGTGTTTGTTTGTGTGGCGTATTGTGTGATTGCTTGAATTTTGGGAACAAAATTCCTTAGTTAGGGAGAATTGTAACATCCTAAGTTTTATCAGGTTTTAATAACCTCTTTTGGTTGATTTTGAGGATAGAATAGTGATTTAATGTTGATCTTGGTGTTTGGGTTGGAATTGAGGTATGTTGGAGGAATAGGTGAACAGACCCCTCTCAAGGTGTGTTCATGGCGGTGAAGTTTTACTTCGCCCCGGCGAACCAGGAGTTCCAGGGGGAAGTGCCTTTTCCGGAAGGTTTGGCCGTAGCGAAGTCATAGGGACGCCGCGATGAAGTTGTTCAGGTGAGCGAGAGTTTCCTCTCGGGAAGCTTTCGCCGCAGTGAAGATTGGAGTTCGCCGCAGCGAAGTCAAGTTTTCAGGTCAGTAATCCCTTTCAGGATTAGTTCACCGCGGTGAAAGGTGTCAAATCTATATAGTCGCGGGAGGGTCTGTTAGTGCGAAAATTAGAAAATCTGCAGGAAGAGAGAGAGGCTCTGCTAGGGTTTCGGATTTTTGGCTTAGAGGGGGCATTTTTAAGGATCCATTATCTCAAACCGGTTATGAGCCTTATTGGTGCACGGGGCCGTATTGTCGGTTTGTTATTCCTTGCTCAGGCGAGAGGTAACCACTTTCCAATCCTTTGTACATGCTTCTGTGGTATTGTGAGTGGATTTATATTTTGTGCCCCGAGTAACAACTATGTTCAAAGTGTATGTTGTATATTAAAAAGGAAAACTGTCTTGTGGGGTTTCAATTGATATTGAATGAATTTATTACTTGTAAAAGATAGGCCACTGAAAGAAGTTAATTGTGAAATGATTAGTACTCTTTGATTACGGTTTGAGCATGATGCATAAATTGGGAATTGGTGAGAGTTTTGATTGTTACTACCACGTGGTAAGGCCTTCATTAATGCATGATGGTTGGCTCTTTACGTCCCCCATAGTGAGGGATAGGCCTTTTAGCTCTCTACGTCCCCTAGAGTGAGGGATAGGCCTTTTATGGCTCCTTACATCTCCCATAGTGAGGGATAGGTTGGGTTCGGCTCTTGAAAATCCCCCAAAGTGAGGGATATGGTTGATGGGATTGCATCCTTGCACTTGTATGACTTGTGTGGCTATCATTTATCATATTACTTGTGAACTGCTCCACTTGACACCTCACGAGCACCTATTTAGTAGTACCTTGAATTGGAAAGATTGGTTACTGGGACGTTTGTCTCACCCCGTGGTTTACAATGTTTTCAGGTGAAGATTCTAGGCGTGTGCCATCGGGAAGAGATGCAAAGGCTTGAGCTTGGTTAGCTTTAGGCCTCTAGCCCTTGTATATGTATGGCTAGTATATATTGCCACATTTAGGATCCCTTTTGAAACATTTTGATTACTCGGCCTTGTTGTAAACTGGAGAGAATGTTATCTCCTTATTTTGGTTGGCCAAAGGCCATTTCTAGTGTCTGATGGAACTCTGATTTATTTTGTTGGGAACTATTTGGATGGGCAGATGTGATGTCTGTTGTTACCCGGGCCGGAGGCTCGGAGGCCCAGTGGATGTTAATGAATGATTTTTAGTTGCATGCAACGGAGTTTGGGTTGACCTGAGTTTGAAAGTCAATTTCTAAAAATATGCAAAGTTATTTGTACTATGGTAGTTCATTTTAACAGCTTTCCTTTTCTACCATAGTAGTGATTTTATGACGAGTTTATAATGTTTTGAGGTTAAGGGTTTTACAAGATACATTGGGTCAGATAAAATCTTTCTACAATAGTTTCATTATCTGCTTCTTTAACTCTACCATTTCATTTGGAGCCATTCGATACAAAGCTTTTAAAATCAGTTTGGTTCCAAGCATTAGATCAATGGCAGACTCCACTTCTTCAGTGGAAGTCCGCTAATCTTCTTTGAAAATATTCCAGAAACTCTCTTACTACTGGTATTTCATCAACTCCTTCTTTTATCTCTGCTTATATCGAGAAAAACACCATATACCCTTAGCAACTTTATATTAAGTATCTATATGCTTAGGCCTCATTTATAAAATTTAGTTTCACCTCCGAGTAAGGGACAACTTCCTTGGGAGGAAGGATTAGGGCTTTGTTTTTATAGTCAAGAAGTACACTATTAGATGACAACTAATTCAGGCCAATTATCACATCAATATCACATAATAGCATACATATCAAGTCAAGAATAGTGCAACAATGCCCATATCAGATAATGTAATTCAAACACACACTAAAGGTTACTATTCTAGCACCAGTAGGAGTGAAAACACAC